TAATTTGATAAATTATAAATAAGTAATAAAATTATTTATATAAAAAGAGAATTTTATAAAAAAAATATCTAAGGTTTCATATTTATATAATAACAAAAAATAAAAAAAATAAAAGAGAATAAAATAAATAAATAATATATAAAGAAAAATAAGATAAATACAAGAAAAATCAATAAATATATATTTCAATATGAAAATAAATAAAATATAATTATATAATAAAATTAATATAATTTATAAATTATATATTTAATATAATTTGCAAAATTATGAAATTAATATAATTTGTAAACTATAAAATTAAGAAATAAAATGTTATTACTATAATATATTTGATTTTGAATATCAGACTTGTAAGTTCTTTAAATAAATAAATGAGTAATCAATCTTATAATTCTGATTTATATACTAATTTCAATATTATTTTGATATATTAAAATTATAGTTTCAAGAATATTAACTTATTATTTGTGTGTAAAGTTTATACTATTTAATTTTAAACTCAATTTTATTTATATATTATATAGAGACTCATATTGTTACACTCTACTCAGAAGTTAGATTGACTAAAGAATTGAAAATGCAACAAAGGTCGTGTGCTAGACTGAATGATTTAAAAAGGGTTTAATGTCACAATTTAATAATCTTCAATTCAAATAGATTAACGTTAATTCAAAATTAACAAATACGAATCAATCAAGTAATCAAATAATAAAAAAATATGCATCAACTTTTTATGTAAAGTCTTCAATTTGTTAAGCGTAATAATAAATTTATCAAAGTTGTTAATCACAAAAGTAATAAAGGCTATCAATTTCGTTGGGTACAAAAGAAATAAAAACTTTCAATTTCGCTATGCACAAAGAAATAAAAGCCGAGCGCTGTTAAGGTAAAGTTTAAACGTAATTTTATTGTTTATTTTTCTTCAAACCACGAGTTCTCGAATATTTGAATATATACAATTAACTAAATTATAATCATAATTTAGCATAGATTAAGCGGGTCTAAAGCACAAGAAATTTTATAAGAATTTTTACAAAGAATATCTATACTGGAATCTAATGTAATAATATAAAGAAAATTATTATGTACAATACAAAAAAGGTGAATTTTATTACAAAAATTTAAATATTATTAATGGATCACGAAAATAAGTAAAGGAAGTATGAAATTTGCTATGAAATTTTAACGATAATCAAAATCTTGGGATCGCAAAGTAAGAATTTTAGTAAGGAATATTTACTATTGGGAAGTAACGGAATAAAGCGGCATTAATGTTGATACTAAGATAAGAATTTTTGTATGAATTTCATGGGATTCTGTTTGAGTGTTACGGGACAATACTAATAATTATTTTTTAATTTTTCCTTACATAATAAGGAATTTACAAGTATTTTCCGTCAGGGATCGGATTTTCCAAGCAGCGGAAAATATCAATTTATTAGCGTTTACCTTTTTCATTTAAATATCGCCGTATGACGTTTATCAGGGGATAGATTTTTTGGCAACGGAAAAAGGGTTCGTTGTTTAAACGCCATGCATAAGGAATTTCATATTACCCTGCATTCCCACGGGCAAAGTTAATACATGAAGCCCGACCAAAAAAGCTTCTATATTGTCAAATGCGTCTTGAAAATAGATTTGCTCGCTGGTCAATATCGCGACGGATTACAATCACCTTTTATCTGAAAAACACTGTTGATTTTAGAATAATAAGTTTGACGACTATTCTATAAATATGTCATGGACCCTGTTACTAATTTTACATTGACATATCCATTAAAAATAATCCTTCTTTAGAATGCTTATATGGAGTAATAATAATAATTATCGGAAATAAAAAATCAACGTCAAATTATATGATTAATGTTCCTTAATTGATATGCTTGCATCTCATTTGAAATCTAATTATTTGTTCATTTAGAAATACTCCTTGAAATTTCCATTATCGGGAATATACATGTATGTTCCTCTCACAAAACAATTCTTATCGTTATGCAAAAACGCCTATGCCAATAACCGCTGTGCATGAGGTGTCAAATTTAACGATGCGATGTGCTTATATAATATACTGTATATAACATTTAATATGATTCCGGTATTACCTAAATATGGTATATGAATGTAGGTACAATGTACATATATTGGAATTTTAATTAAATAATTTAGAGAAACTGCGTAACTTTTCTGATGCGATGCATGTATACATTATACGACGAGAATAGAATCTACCTTACTCGCATGCAGAACCCAGCTTTTGACATGATGTCATCTACTATATATGATATTAAAATTCTATAGTTAATAACCTGGGAACTGGGTCAGAGATATTTCTATGGATATGGATAATAATAACGGTACAGATCGTTTGATGAATAAAAAATAATATTGTTCTCTGGCAAAAGTTTTCAACGCATCTGTATTATAATAGCGTTCAGATCTGTTATTTGGAAGAGAATATACATTTATCGTTATTAATACGTATAAATATCGATTAGGTTGATTTTATATATAAAGCACTTCGAGCACTAGCAAAAACTCTGTACTAAAAAATTATAAAATTAAAAATGGCAAATTCGAATCAAGAGATTGATAATAATCATAACTTTCTACGTAATTCTTATTCAATCGCTGATACTGCTATTCGACTTGATGAATCGCACCACACAGAACAACAATACAATTTACCTGAAAACATTTGGTCTAATTTCGTTGAAGGAACCGAATTTCCAAACGGAACAGATATGTTGTTTGATTCAGAGCACATCATTGATTTGCAGCCTAATCCCTCAACATCTGATAACGATAATGTAACGCCACAGGTTGATCAACAAGAAGATTCTTTAAATACACCACTTGAGTCATAATTAAAACGTAGGAAATATACTTTTTCAAATTCTTAACAATTTAAAATCCTAGAATTTAAGTTCTTGTTGCGTCTATGATTTTGTATTTGATAAGCCAAATATTTTTTTAGGTAGTATATTCCGCGTTTCTTTATCCGAAATATTTTATTAGATTTGTTGTATTTTTGTCTCTCATATATATATATATATATATATATATATACAGTGGCTGCCAAAAGTTTTGCATTACACGAATAAAAAAATAAAAATTGTAATATTTTACGATTCATATGTTATTTACATGTGTATTCAAAAAAGGAGAACTTTAAACTCGAATATAGTTATATTCATCATGATTTTGTATTTATTTCTTTCCAAAAGTGGTGATGCGTTACTTTTGACCAATAATCTATTTAAATGTAAGACTATATAAAACATACAAATTTCATAACAAACCTTATTTTGTATGCTATATAAAAATTACACCTACAAATATAATCTTTTATTTTAACTTAAAAAATAACAATTAAATCAATATATGAGTCATATTACTATTGAACAAAGATCACGATCTTGATGAAGGATTTTCCTTCTATAATATTGCATCAAAAGAAAATATTGCACAGTCTTCTGTTATCCATCTTAAAAAAAAAACTTGAAACAACTGGTTCCATAAAATCTGGTCATCCTCAAATTTTAACTGAATATGATGAGCATAATATTATTCAATTTATTTCAAGTGATGAATGTTCAAATGCTATGAAAATTCAAAAATAATAATAAAATTAATATAAGAAACAATACTATAAGAAGAACCTTACATAGACATGGTTTATCTGCAAGAGTTAAATGAAAGAAGCCTTATTTAAGTAAAAACATCAAAAATTACATTTAAAATTTGCAAAAGAACATAAAGATTAGCAAATAGAAGATTAAAATAAGGTGCTTTGGTCAAAATTTATGTTATTTGGATCAAATAATCATGAATATTATTGGAAATAATAAAATGAACCTCTTAATGATCACCTTGTAAAATCTACAGTTAAATTTGGTGGTAGTAGTATTATGATCTAGGGTTGGAAATATCATACGTATTTATGGCACCATGAATCAAGAATTATATCGCAAAACATTAACAGATGATTATTGGGAACAATTGAGTACAATGAATTGGATAAAAATATTATTATTTTTATGTAAGATAATGGTCCAAAACATGTGGCTAATAAAACGATGGAATGGTTTGATGATAACGGGATTAATGTAATGGAATGGTCACCTCAATCCCCTGATTTAAATCCAATTGAACATCTCTGGAATGTGACATCCCAATCAATAATCAATATCAACTATGGGACGCTATTCAACAAATTTGAATTTACAATAGATAATGAATTTATAACTCAGCTAATTGAAAGCATGCCCGAGCGAATGGATGATGTAAATCATGCTAAAGGAGGTATACTAGGTGGTAAAGAATGTTTTGTTTAAATTTTATTTGTTAGTTAGTTGGCAATAGTGTTTTAATTTTTATGTTTTAATCAATCAAAAAGAAATGCATCACGTAAAATTGCGTAAATCTCTTTTTTTGGTTATTATGATAATAATTACCTATATGATTTATCCTCGTATGTTTTATAAAATTCGCCGATTATGTATATTTAAATTTATGGATCTTCTTTGGATGATGCAAAACATTTGGCAGCCACTGTATATATAATGAGCTCACTTTTAATTCGTTCCTTCAGTTTTCCCAATTTACTAGCAGCTTTTATTCATAGAAATACTGTCTTCAAATTTCCCTCTTCTTCATTTTGTTTTTTCTGCTATAACCTTTAGATTATGAAATTACGTGTCTTTTATGCTGATGTATAATCTCAATTTCAACAATAGATTGTCTTGTAGCGTCAGGTCAAAAGTTTAACTTATATAAAGTTAACTTTATTCATAAAAGTAAAGAAAAAGATATGTTAATTTACAAAAAAAACTAAAGGGAATATCTCTGATATTATGTGATATCCTTAACAAGTCATCTATATTCTTTAAGGATTAATAAATTTATATTAAATAAACACGCTCATCACAAAAAGCCCCTATATGACATGGATGTCTGTAAACATAAAATGTAAAAACGCCTGTAAAGATTTCAGCACGTAGTTTTTATAGCGAAAACACGTAAATAACGTGTAAAAAATTGTAAAAACTTTATCCTAAATATCCTAAATATCATAAAGACAGGCTTAAGTGTCTATACATCTAAAAGACACTATTTAGTGCTATTTACAAATATTTGTGTCCTTCTAAAATTCATCATAGGCATTACAGACATTCACATCTTATAGGGTAATAAATAAAAAGAAATATCACATACCAAATCAGAAAATCCTGCTTCATCTTCTTTGTGTTTTTAAGGTATTTGATCAAAAACGCTTTCTATATCGTCAAGACGCGTCTCAAGAATTTCGATATACTGAGAGTTCAAATCGCAATATTTACAATCTGTAGATTTTTTGAGATTTGTTGACTGGCGCTGTGGCGAATAGCAGTCACCTTTTATTTGAAAAAGATATTTCTTTCCTGTAGTATCAATTTCGTTGGATCTGCATTTTCTTAAATTGACGTTTGCTATTGTTGGTTTTACTTAATTTAGCAGAAGCAGTTTCGGTTGATTTGTTGAATTTCATTTTTGATTGAGAAATTTAATAAAATTATAAAATTGATAAAAAAAGAATTGTAAAAAAATTCAAGCGGAAATGAAAATTTGTTTTCAAGATTGTTAATTGCTAAGATAATGAATGATAAAGGTGATAAATCGTTAAATGAAAAAATTCACCCGACCTTTTTTATAATTAAACTGATTGTATGATTACATCATGCTATTTATTGCCAAAAATTGCATAGTATGAATCAAAATAATCCTTCTTTTTATGACTTTTTATTTGTGGCCCACAGCTTGTGGGACAAAGATCATTATGTACAAATTACGTAAGCATCAGAAACTAAAATTAATAAAATAGAATTCACAAATCTTATTATTATTTTTATCAATACCAGCGTGGTTAATTATAAAACTGGAATCCATCCAGCAATCCATTCTTGCTTGAAAAAATGAGTTATATTAAATATTTATCTGAAGCTGAAAAAGAACTTCTGAGTAAGCGTCCTTATGCTTTAACTCTCACGATTGAAGAATTGACAAATCCTATCCAGAAAAAACGCGACAAACCACCACGACCACAAAACAGTTGGATTATATTTCGAAAAGACTATGAAGCTAATATACGTTTATACAGCCCTGATGTAAAGCAAGAAGTAAAAAACACAGCAAAGGAATGTAGCTTAAAGTGGAAAAAACAATCGAATGAAGTCAAACATTTTTTTAAAATATTAGAGAAAATTGCTTATGAAAATCATAAACTTGTATATCCTAATTATAAATACAAACCAAAATTTGGGAAAAAATTAAGCTGCAAAGAAGTTATTTTTCGAGAACACATATTTACTTCGTTAGATAAGTATAACACGAAAAATCTCTATTCACGCCAAAAAGTATTGCAAATTGACGAATTGTCATCTTTAACTTTCAATTCACCTCAAGAAAAAATACGATTCGACAAACCGTCATCTTTAACTTTCAGCTCACCTCAAGAAACGATACAAATTGGCGAATTGTCATCTTTAACCACTAGTTCATCTCAAGGCTCACAAATCGACGAATCCTCATGCTTAACTTTCAGTCTACCTCAAGATAAGATACAAATCATGCCTTCTTTAACTTTCAGCTCACCTCAAGAAGCGATACAAATTAGCGAATCATCACCTTTAACCTCTAGTCCATCTCAAGGAGCACAAATCGACGAATCATCGTGTATAACTTTTAGTTCACCTCAAGAAGCGATACACTTCGGTAGATCATTATTTTTAACATCATCAAATTCTACAGCTATATATAATGATGATACGAACACGATTCTTTATAATCACCAAGACTCGCTCAGTAATGTTCAAAATTTGTATGCCGACATATTTAATGAATTGGATAATCAGATTCCTAATTTATTTTTTTTCGATAATGATAACGATACCGATAAAAATAACAATAACAATAACAATAACAATAACAATAAGCATACAGATATGTATGAAACTTCTTTAAACAAATTAATTTCTTTCGAATTAAATGAAACTAATACAAATAATGATGATAATGCTCCATTAACATCATTTATATCTTCACCCTTGTCACAATCACAATCACCCGCACAATTATTTATGTCAAAATATAATTCATGTCTTTTTTGATAATTTGTGATAATGCACTAGTCACATTTAAGTATTAGATAATTGTTTAACCTTTTTTTAAGCACTTGCCTAACTCCTTTCAACTTTGTTCATAATACATATAATATAGAAAAGTGTTATGAATAATTCTTAAAAGTAGTATTTCTAGCATTAATTGGTGAGTTTATTAGATGATATATTTATTGTATGTCCGTTTTTATTCTTCGTACTTCGTTCTCTTCTTCCGCCACTTCACCCTTCTTTACTTCGTTCTTCGCTATTCATTATTTCATACTTTCGTTAGGTCATCCTTTTGTTTTTCGTACTTCGCTCTTCTTTACTTCGTTCTTCGTTATACATTCTTTCATTCTTTCGTTAAGTCGTTCTTTTTTTCTTCGTACTTCGTTCTGTTCTTCTGTCATTTCTCTCGTCTTAACTTCGTTCTTCGTTCCTCGTTATTCATTATTTCATCCTTTCGTTAAGTCATTCTCTTGTTCTGTTCTTTCAATTTTTACTCTTATAATTTCTTGTTTTTAATATTATCTGACATTTAATTGTTTTATGATTGAAAACATTAAGCCAAAGCCTGTTATAAGAAATATGCAATATAATGAAATTCGTATTAACGAAAAATTTATCATTCAAAAACAAAAAGTATAGAAAAGTTTTATTAACTACAGTCACACCTGTCTATTTGCATACTGTTGGGACTGATAGATTTTTATGCAAATAGACAAATACACGTTATCACATGATCGTTGATGCCAATCACATGGTCAGATTACTCAAAATTTTTTTTATTATTATTATGCACTCGTAAAATATGTTGATATCACTATCATTTTACAATGAAGAACACTACATTAAGCAATCAGCAACGCTATCAAATCTGTTTAAAAAAGCAAAATAACCAAGGAATGACCCAAAAATAATTAATAAAGTGGTGTGAACAAGAACTCGGTGTAAAAGTTGATCAAGCTGCTATTTCCAGAATGTTAAAGTGCTCATCTGAGTATTTACACGATGAAACTAGCCTATTGCAAAATCCATTACAAAAAAAATCCTGCAATGTGAAATATCCCGAACTTGAACTTGCATTCCAAGAATGGTGTTTGCGCTCCCAAGGCCATATTTCTCTCACAGACATAATCTTAATTGAAAAGGCTAAATTGTTTATGAAATTGCTTAATATTCCTGATAATACACTCGCATTTTCTTTTGGATGGCTTCAAAGCTTTAAAGACAGGTATTAATATATAATTTACATTTATTTATTATATTTAATTATTAAAATTTTCTACAACAAATTAATATGTTATAGAAATAATCTGAGAAAATATCAATTGCATGAAGAAAGTGAATCAGCTAACACCAGTGTAATTGAAAATGAACTTCCTGATCTAAAAGCAATTATCAGTTCCTATAAACCAGAATGTGTATATAATATAGATGAAATAGAACTATTCTTCTAATAAGTATAATACTTTAATACTATTTGAATATAAAATTTAATAATATATAGACTTGAACCTGATATGATTCTGGTAACAAAATGAATTGAGAAAAAAAGAAAGGAAAGAAATATTTATTTATTATACTCTGTTATAAACTGATAGAAGTGATAAACTTCTACTTTTCATTATTGAAAAGTTTTTAAACTCTTGATATATGAAAAATATTGATATAAATAATCTCAGAGTTATTTATAGAGTAAATGCTAAAGCATGAATAACTGCAGTTCTATTTCAAGAGTAAGTAAATTATATACATAATTCAAAATAATAAAATATATTTTTGTGAAATTTAATAATTATTAATTATAGATGATTAAGATTATTTAGTCAAAAAATGAATGATAAAAAGATATTATTACTACTTGACAATGTATCTTGTCATATAATTGAAGAATTTGAGTTAAAAAATATATAAATTAAATTTTTATCATCAAACTTAATATCAAGAATTTTAATCTTGTAATGCTAGAATTATTATAATTTTCAAGAAATATTATCAATATTAATTTATATATTATCTTCTTGAAAAATTTAAGTAAAATAAGCAAGTTTTTAAACTTAATATTTTGAAAGTTATACTATATGAGATCTATTTAGATAGAAAGTGTTATAATTAATATTATTACCAACTGTTAGAGATATACTAATATTATTAACTTTATTAATAATAAAAAGATAAAACAAGATAAAGAAGTAATAACCTTCAAGAAAGAGAGAGATATTATTATCTTAAGATATTTAATATTTTAATTAGAAATATCATTTCAATTAATTATAATTTGTAATAGTCAATTAGAAAATTATAATTAATTATAATAGCCAATTAGAGAATTATAATTAAGTTGTAATATCATCTTTAATTCCAATTTTAATATTAAATATTTTATTATTATTATATTATTATTATTATTATTATTTAAATACAGAAACTTTATAAGAATAAAAGATTTTTTGAATTTATTAAAGAATGTAAAATAGAAGAACTTGAAAATAAGAAGATAATAATTCAATTAATTCAAAAAGTTAGAATAAAAAAGAAAATAATAAGAGAGATAAGAAGAAAAATAAGTTGTCAGTTATTTTTGCTAAGAAAAAATTGAAAGTATTAAAAATAATTAATATATTTTTGTTATAATAATCTAGAGACTGTTTAGATAAGATTAGAAAATTAACTAATATAAAAAATACTATGCAAATAATTTATTCAGAGTTTTTAAAATAAAGTGATATTAGTAATTTTTTATATTATAATAGTAAAATTTAAATTAATTTTATTAATCTTTTTTTTTATAATATGTATATATAAATATATATTAATAAAATCTATTAGAGTTAGAGTTACTTTTGATATATATACATATTTATATTATATAAATAGCTAATAAATCTTACTAAGAGACCAGAATTTCTTTATATAAATAAATAGATTATGCAAATATATATTATGTAAATAGATATTATACAAATAGATAGATATAATTATAAATTAAAAATTTTATTTCTTGAAAACTCATTATTTAACTTAATAAGTTAGAAGTATTTAATGCAAAACCTACAAATACTTATTTTTATTTTGTTTTTTATTATTATAAGATAAGTCTATAATAATTAAATTTTATCAGTAAGTTTAAGAATACTATAATAATAATAATTAGTATTTTTATATAATAAGATTCTAATTATATAGATTCTATATTTATATATAGTAAGTATATAAGAAATATAATACAAAATATTTTACAAAAAAATTCTATAGTCTTTAATATTAATAAATATATCTGATTTTTATAATATTTTAAAGCAAATAATCTAAAAAATATTTAAAAAAAGTCTAAAAAATAATAATATGAAATTTTAATTAAAAATAATTTTATTATTATTATAAATATTCTTTTTTATGAGCTTGATAAGATTGAATTCAAGTAAATATAAAATTATTTATTTAAATAATAAAAAAAGCTATAAGAAATAAGATTTAAAAATTATAAAATGAATATAAGATATAAAGTAAAGAAATATTTAAGTTTTTATATCTATTTTAGTGTAATAATAAAAAAAGTAAGATATTATATTATTAAAATAAATTCAAGAAGAAAATAATAAAGAAAACAAAATAAAGAAAAAGATATTAAAATAAGAAAAAATATCAAAAAAGTATAAAAATAAATTTAAAAAAGAATTAATTATAATATAATAATAAATATAAAATTATATTATTTTATAATAAAGATACTTTGCTTAAAAAAATAATAAAATTAAATAACAAATTGGAATAAAAATTAAAATATTAAAATTATACTATTTTATAATTAAATATCTAATTCTAAAACTAATAAACTCAAATAATATAAATTAAATAAAATAATATTAATTATATTTATTATATAATTTTTTATCTTATAATTTAAATAAAATAATTTTTACTTATTTTATCAAAATTTTATATTTATTTATACTAAATATTTATTAAATATCTGAAAAATGTCAAAGAATATTAAAGAATATTAGAATACATGAAAGGATATTAAAAGAAATGGAAAGATGTGAAAAGTCATAAAAAAATATGAAAGAATATTAAAGAATGAGGAAAGATATTTGAGATCATCATTCAAGTGTAACTGTTTTATCAAAATTAAAAATAATCTTTCATTATACTATTCTACTATATATATGAATATCATATTACAAGATAATAAAAATGTAGATCTTAAATATTAAATAAGATATAATGTTTAAAAATAGAAATATGATAATAAATATAATAATATATGATATAAAAATAGTAATATTTATAAAATAAATAAAAAATATAGAAATATATGATTTTGTATAACTAGAAAAAGATTAAGAAATTAAGAAATT